TATGCTGCCCTGTGCCTTCCTTTTACTCCCTACATACCTAAAAAAAGACTTTCTGTTGTCTTTAATTTGTGTTGCCAGGTTCATCTCTGTAGTTGCTTTGGCCTTTCTAACTGCCTCCCTGCAAGTGTGGGCCAAGTAGGTATACTCCTCCTTGGTAGCTTCCCCTTGGTTCCACCACCTATATGCCTTCTTTTTCACCCTTGGGCTCCCCTGGATTTCCCTGTTTAGCCAAGGAAGTTTTTTGGCTCCTTTCCCCCTTTTCCCTTGTATTAGGATAGTCTCCCTCTGTGCCCAAAGGATCACTTCCTTTAGGAGCGACCACCCTTCCTGGACTCCCATCTTGCCAATACTCCTATCCTGCAGTGTGTCATTGACTAGACTCCTAAGCACACTGAAGTTAAACTTCCTAAAGTCAAGCACTTCCACCCTACTAGTTAGCTTACCCACCCTATGCCGTACGGTGAATTTGATTGATTGGTGGTCACTGTCCCCAAGGTGACCATGAATCTGCAGCTCCTGTACCAGGTCCTCTGCCGTAGCCAACACCAAGTCCAGTAAGGCATTCCCCCTAGTGGGACCGTATACCTCCTGCGTTAGGTGAAGGTCCTACACGCAGGTTAAGAACCTATGTGAACGGTTGGATTTGGCTGACTGCTTTCCCAGCAGATGTCAGGGTAGTTTAGGACCCCCATGACAACCTCGTCCCTAGACTGTATGGCCTCTGAGAGCTGCCTCAAGAATTCCAAGTCTAGCTTTTCCTCTTGGTGTGGTGGTCTGTAGCAGACCCCCCCCACCAAGTCCCTTTCCCCTCGACCTCCATGTATCCTAGCTCACAGTGCCTCAACTTTATCCTCCTCCAATCCCATTTTGGTTAGGGTAGATGTATAATGCTCCTTTACACAGAAAGCAACCCCACCCCCTTTCTTCCCTACTCTGTCCCTTCTGTACCTGTAGCCCTCAGTGTGTACTGCCCAGTCATGGGTAGGGTCCCACCAGGTTTCTGTTAGCCCCACTAAATCGAAGTTATTATCTGCAAGCAGAAGTGCAAGTTCTTCCTGCTTGTTCCCCATGATCCGAGCATTAGTATAGAAGCACTTGAGCCCTCCGAATGGTGCCTTTGGTGCCCCGCCATTGATGCCCAAAGGGCCCCTTGGTACTTACCTGGAGTGTAATACTTCCCCTGGAAAAGACCAGCATGTACTAGCATCATCCTCCATTGCAGCCCAGGCAAGATCAAAGCTCCATTGCGCTTGGGACTCAATGAACACACAACAAATCCCTATCCCACTAGGCGAAACACACAAAACAAGCACAGAACAGGAAGGGAACCAAAGCAGAAAGCAGGAAAACGACTTGCACTGATTCACTCAGCATTTGAGAGGAAGAGCTGATGAAGGACAAAGGATCCCAGCCCCAGGGCTTGCTCAGAAGGAGAACTTTCAACCACACAAGCACTGACCGTGATCCCGAGCCCCGTCACAGTCTTTGGTTGGCGTGATTGACAGATGATGCACTGAGGCACAGACAGCACATTGGGTGGAACAACCCATGCCAGGCCCGTGCTGAGGTGTATTCTGCCTACCTCATCTTTCAGACAAGCTTCCTACAGCTGTGTTCTGTTCCAAGGGCAGTAATGGGAGTTGAGGGTGTAGATTTAAAGTAATTAAGCCAAGTGTATGAAACATGTCCCCAGTACAGGATGAGAGCTATCCAGATACATAAAGATTTTAGCCATTTTGGCGTGTGGAAAGTGGGTGTTTCTTACTCAGTTTCCAAGATAGATACAAGCTTGCATACCCCCAGCTCATCCCTCACTATCTCAGAAGGGCCTGAGATCATGGAGAGCACATATGCATTTTATGTAACGCAAGGGAAGAGATTAAAGGTGCTGGGTTACCATGGGTGTCTATGTCTGCAAACTTCAAGGATGCCCAACACAAGCAAGAACCCAGGTATGAGAAAGGGGCAGCCAATGCCACAGGCGACATAATCCACCCAAACTTCTGTGCTGGACCGCAGGATTTGGGATGCCACAGTTCATTGCAGGTGGGAAGAATAAAGGTCTCTCGCATACACCTTGTGCCAGGCAATCTGCTGTGGAGCAAACAAACCTCATGGTGCCTCTGCAATGCCCAAGTCAGAGACTTTCATGCTGGCAGGCAATGAATACTGTAGTGCCCAGGAAGCAGGCAAAGATCAAGGGCACGTGACCTAGGTGGATTTATTCTTACTCTCTATCATGGGTAGATGCCACCAGTGGTACTTTGTTCCGGTGTGGGAAGGACTCACCACACATCCAATAAACTTGAGCCATGTAATAAAGTCCAAGAAACAGCTCTGCAAGCCCCTGACTGCATAAAGGGAGAACTCCAGTGGACCTTGTCAAATTAGACGCACAACACTGGAAAGCAATGAAGCCATCTGCCCACAGAGTGCCCTCTAGGACAGAGCTCTCCTCAGGTCAATAGCTCCAGCACAGCCAATAGCTCTGCTGGGCCTTTGGAGGCTGCCATTTTTGCAGAGCTAAAGAACATGCCCTTGCAGGGAAGGGCAGCAGCGAGGAACGCCAAGATTCACAGTTCTAGGGGGCAGCTGGTCTCAGCTTGCACGATGATGCTGCTGCCTGGCAAGTGATTGTGTCACCAGTGAACCCAACCTAAAGTCACCCACTTGTCCTGCTCCTGGCAAGGCAGGGTACAAGTGCATTAGTCCTGCCCTGCCTCTCCCCCAGCCCAAAACAGCAGGTACTGGGCTCCCCAGCCTGATTTCCACTCACTAGATTTTAAATGCTCTTCAAATCTTGGAACAAGAACTAGAACCAGGGAATAAGCCCAATTCTGGGAGTTTTCCTCCAGAAGAAGGCAGGGCAGATTTGCACCTTGTAGACTAACCAAAGTAAATATACAGACAAACATGCGTACACATACACCTACACTCAGATCTAGGATTTTGGAAAGCGGGGTGCAGATGGTGCAGCGAAACACCACATATACCACAATGCATACTCTCATCAAGTTAAAAATAAACAAGAAGGCTTACTAATAAACAGGGATCCTGGTTTTCTGTGTTTAAAAATCCCAAATTCTCTGATTAAAACCCCCAAAATATGCATTTGTCGCACTTAATGTGAAATGCGACTATATATAATTCAGGTATTAGTTGAAGACAATATTTTATTGATATACTTGCAATTTTAAAGCAATTTGGAAGTCTACCAGTGCCTCAATCCTTATAATAAAATAAATTGTAAATACCTAGATATTTTGGCTTATCACAGAAAATTAGAGCTCTTGCTGCCCCTTTCACTCACCAGGATGCAGGTGCAGCTGTGGCTATCTCCCCTGCTGCTTTGTGGCATTGAGCAACCCTGATATACCAGCACCCCTCACTCCCAAGCCACAGCCCCCAGCCCTGTCAGTGCCCCTCACTCCCAAACTGCAGCCCCCCATTCTTGTAGGTGCCCCTTAGTCCCAACCCATAGACCTCCACCACCCCAGGTGTCCCTCACTCCTGACCTACTGCCCCCCACCCCCAGGCCACAGCCTGCGGTGTGTGGAGCAAGCGGGGTGCTTGATCATAGACAATATGTCAGAGGGGCATGGGGGGACACATGCCCCCCAGATTTGCATACCCACAGTGGGGCATTTGGCTGCAGCCTGTCTGGACTAGCATGGGCAGAAGCCACCTCCATGGCCCAGCAGGCGGACCCAGTGTGGGAGGGCCGAGCAAGGCAGTGAGACTCTCTGCTACCACCGTCGCCAGGCCCCCCACACTGGCTGTGCAATGAATTTCATCACCCTGCTCTGTCCTCTCATACCAGGCCCTACCTGCTGCGCCATGAAGGTGGCTTCTGCCCATGCCCTCTATGGGCACAGAAATCTCAGGGGAGCACGTGCCCCCCACCCCCCATCCCTCTGAAACATCGTCTATGCTCCCCTACCTCTCCAATGCATTGCTTATGCTTCCCCCCTGCCCCACTTTTCTGCAGGGATTTACGGGAGCTGTTCTCCACCACATACTGGCTGCATTGCTGCCTATGTGCATGTGTGAGTGTACGTAGCGTCCCCTGCCTGCAGCTGCCCCCCTCCCATTCCCCCCCAGCCCCAAGCAGCTCCTTGCAGGCTGGAACTCTGAACCTTTAAAGGAGAAAAAGCCACATTTTTCTGTGGCAAACAGAAAACCCAGATCCCTGCTAATAAGTTAGTGACCTAGGGCTTTATGAGTTTAAGATTGGAGCAAAAGCAAATATAAATTTGCTGTATCATATATTATGTTTAGAAAAACACAACACCCAAGCAAAAGAAAAAAAAAATCAATGTGTGTGGTTTCATTAGTCCTGTAGTCATTAAAATTAAATGGACATCTCTTTTTCAGGTTCATAAAAAAAAAAATCAAGCCTTCTTCTTGAGTATCTTGACAGTGCATAATCCAATGCTTCACTGAAAGTTATTTCCACGCAAAGATTAATGTTTTTAGCTAGAGTTACAGTCTGCAAGGGTGTGAAATAGGAGCTACATTTCCAAGAGCAGCTAAGAGATAACAGAATTGCAGAAGAAAGGATAGCTTAATAAGGGGAACAGCAAAAACATGAAAAACAGAGAATGTCTCAACACCTGTGGGCTGAAGAATGCAAAAGGAATAGAGTATAATGAGCCATGAAGTCAATGGACTGCCTCGCTGCTGCCTGAATAGAAATGTTGCTGCCACTGCCAGGTAGTTAGTTTTAAACTTTGGGTGAAGCAGGATTCAAAGCAGGGTGCCACTGCACCCTACCTGGACTCATCCCAGTGCACAAGATTTCATGAGCTGAAGCTCACTTTGTCAGATGCTGTGAAAGGGCAGATAGAAAGCAGAGTATAAGGAGGAAAGAGAAATCAAAATACAAAAGGCAAAGGAGGGTTTTCCTTTAACCAACACTAGCCCAAAGTCATATCCTGGGACAGAGGGCAACAAACACCCTCACTGTGCTCCAACATGGCTGCCAAACAGAATACACAAAAGACATTTAAAACTCGCAAAGTTTATTATTAATTTGGACGTGCCATACACACATGGCAGCTGAGGGGAGACAAGGCTCCAAGTGCCCTTCACATTCCCAGCTTGGGATGCAGGTCTGATCACGAGGACCCCAGGCAGGAGTGTTGTGCCAAACCCGCCCCCCAGTGCAGTAAGGCAAGTGTTTGAAACTTTTGTTTAAAAAATAAAAAAAAATAAAAGGAAAGCAAAGCCATTTGAACAGCTGCTCAATGGTACATACAGTAGAAGAGAGAAGACACCGTGTCCTGCACTGACTCTGGAAAAATGGCCTGGGGTGGGGAGAGGAATGCTATGGACTTAGGCACTGGGCACTAAATGTGCTCAGTTGAAGTTTATAAAAAGGTTTCTTCTAATTACCAACCTTCCAGATTCCCCCTGGGAAGCAGGGTTCTCACCCTGGGAGTCAGCTAACCATTCTTATTGCCAATGTGCCAGCCCCAGGAAAAAACCTGCCTCAGCTGCTCACAGTGGCATCAGGTTTGCCATGCAAGTAGCAGCAGCGAAATCTTATCTTGGTCCTTACAGCGAGCAGATCTGACTGAAGGGAGCAGGGCTGGGGAGCAAAGAGATGCCATTTTTGCATAGTCACTTGTGAGCACAGCCACATTGTAATGCTGCTCTAGCAGAGGGGATAACACTTGGTGTAAATGTCTCTCATTGCTTAACTGCTGTGGACCATTTGGAGCCTGAGCTCTCCAGAAAAAGCCAGAGGCTCCTTCCAGCTTCAGTTTGTATTTTTCAAGGGGAAAACTCTCCTGCTTTCTGGCCCTTCTACCAAAAGCCCTGGGGTTGAGCACAAATGCAACCTTGAAACACCAAACACATGGAGAGGATGAGAGGAGAGTGGGAAAGAGCTTCTCAGAAGACTCAGATGCTGAGTTCATGGTCTGCACTCCATATGCAGCCACACTCTGCACCTCCTAGTGGATGGTATTTCCACCGTGTCCCTTCTTCTGATGCACCCCACAATGCTGCTGTCCAGCTTCCCAAAGAAAAGTCTCCAATTTTCCTTTAGAGTAAATGGAAACTACAACTCCCCCTGCCCTCCCTCCTGCTGCTAGGTGTGGTTTCAATTCACTGCCAGCCAGGGCCAGCCCACAATTTTATGGGCCCCCTGCAAGAAATAGTTTTGGGGCCCCCTGACATGGGGTGTGTGTGTGTGTGTGGGGGGGGAGGAAGCGAGAGAAGAAGCTGGCAGCAGTGGCATGGGCAGCTAGGGGGTGGGGTAGTGAGTGGCCAGATGTGAATCTGCCAGCAGTGGCAGCGTGGGGGGCATGGCGAGCAGGCAGATGTGAAGCAGGGGCTGGCAGCAGCGAGGGGAAAACAACATGGAGGGTGGGTGGCGAATGGCTGGACTCGGGGGACCTCTTGGCTGCAGGGCCCCCTGCAGCCGTAGGTTTCACAAGATAGGATGGGCCGGCCCTGCTGCCAGCTCTTGCTGGTGGACTGTGTTCTGACGTAGTGACTTTGTGTACATGACCCCCATTGGCTTGAGCTGTCACTCTCCCTCTGCCACTGGGAAGCTGCTGGGTTTTTACCCAGGATCACTTATACACTTCCTGTGTGCTCTCCACTCTGCAAGAGCCCCTGCATTATCCAGATCCAGAAATGGTGCATAGAGTAGGAAAATGAATGTCCATATCAACCACAGTGGTGGCTTGATCATTACATCCCCAGAGCATGCTGTGTGCCAAGCAGGAGTGGGTGTGTAGCACAGCCATGGAGGAGCAGAAGAGTAGCCTAAGAGTTTTCCAGTGTTGTTTGTTTCTAGAAAGAAGTAAACATCTCCAATGGTTTTCCTCCAACACGATGAAGATAAATCAAATAGATTATGGCCTCAGGTCTCTCTGGGCCCAAGACGCAGCCCTGATTTCAGCCCAAGCACTTTCTCCAGTTCCTGCTAGCTTGTCCAGACATGATGGCTGGTGCAGTAGTAGAAATCACAGCTGAAGGAAGAAGGGAGATGCTTCAGTAGAGGCCTTATGGCCCTAGCAGCAGGTTTTCAGCCAGCTCTTACAGTCTTTGCACAGAAGTCACTGTCACAATGAATGAGCTGTGAGTTTCAGCCCTTTCTTTCAACAGGTAACATCCTGACAATCAGACCTCTTTGAAGGAACCCTCCCCACCCCACCCCAGTCACCCCAAGCTTTGCGTGCTTCTTAATGGAGTCCATTTTCCAAGGAGTGCCAAACACAGTGATTATTTCAGAACCAGCATGGCCTCTGTCCCGTCTTTCCTTGTCAGGTAGAGTCCATGAGTGAGGTAGTATTCTCGCCGGAGGAAAGCGTAGAAATAATCCGAGATGAGCAGGATCTGCAGAAGTGACATGCAGTACAAACAATCCATTAGCTGTACAGCCTGCCAGCCCAAGATGTCTTTCCCAGATCTCCCCCCTGCTGTAGGGCAGTACTCCAACCTAACCTTTTATAATGCAAAAGCTGATAATCCCAATGAAATTCCTTCTTTAAATTCCTATTTTAAATTTGGACAAACTGTTTCAGAATGACTGTTTCTGTTTAGAGAGGGCAAGAGACGCAAGCACTGGAACAAGACAAAGACTGCAAGACTTGTTGTTTAACAAAAGGGGAAAAGGGTAGAGGACTGTGGAACTCTCACAACTACCAGGCAATGCACTGACAGGCAAGGGGAAGTGAAGAAAGCCTATGGGACACTGCCATAAGGCCAGTGGCTGAGCAGGAGATGGAACACAGGAGTCTCTGCATTAACTAAGAGATCATGCTCCTCCTGCAAATAAATACGATTCATATTGCGGCAAGCCCCCCCTCCCATCTGTACACACATCCAGGAAAGGCACCACTGTGTGTAAGAGCACAAAAGCCACATCAAGCAGCACTCTGGTGGATAGGGCTGAAGCCCAGTAGTTCTGAAGGACTAGATTTTTATAGCTATCAACATGTGAAGCTGCTTTTGCGGGACCCACATTTTGTAAGTGCCAACAAAGCCCACCCATCCTTGGTAACATTGCTTGTTATGACCCACTTTCCATTTGAGCCCTTCAGATGAGCATGTCTCAGGACAGCTATCTTCTCCACATGGTAACAAGGGTCATATCTACCCACTGACTAGAGCTGGGGACCTTTCAGTCCCATACACGGGTTGCACTAATGTCCTAATAACAAACCTTAGTGAGTGACAACTGCAGAGCACTTGATAACCATTAATCACCTTATTCAGGGAATTCACTCTTATTCAGGGAATTGACACCTCACCAGCCATACCATGTTGTTGCTGAATAGAGTGAGGGAATGCAGTCATGGGTGGGGACTGCGAGTCCAGAAGGGAGTGGACTGTGAGCTAGACAGCCTGCAGATTACCTCAAGAGACTGTTGAATCTCTGTCACTGGAAGTTTTTATGTGCAGGGTAGACACACACACCTGGAATGGTTTCAATTTAGATGATCCTGCCTTAAGCAGTGGGTTGGAGTAGGCAGCCTCTTCAGGCCCATTTTTCTATGATTCTAGGATGAATGGGTGGAATGCGAGGGGCTGGTGGAGTGGGAAGGAGGCTGCAGAGGGCTGAGACAAGACTGGAAGAGAAGGAAGAAGAGAAAGGACAAAGAAGGCTGGATGCACCCAGGAAACAGAGAAAGTAGCAACCATAACCAGTGTGGGCATAGTGCTGATAAGCAGGCAACCCCTTTGATCTGAGACGCTTACTAGCACCTCACTAGAATGGAAGGAAGTGGCAAGGGACTTAAAGCTCCCCCCATGCCTCAAAGGAAGGATTTTATAAAAGGGAAAACTAGGGCATAGCTGGCTAACATACCCTGCTTGAGACCACAGTGAAAAGCTGTGTCAGAGGGGTGCTTCACAGACAGGATTCTGTCTCCATAACACAGCCTTCATTGTACAGACAAGTTCCTGGCTCCCGAGCCTATGCTCAACTCTAGCAGTGGTCAAGATCTCCATGGCTGGCTCCAATCACTTTCCATCTGGAGAATAATTCAGTTTCTCACTCCTATCATTTCTGTGTCCTTTCCCCAACTTAGCTCATCGCCACCATGTTCTTTATTACTAACGAAACCTGCCACTTTGGAGCTCATCTCTGCCTAGAACAATGGAGAGCAGTGCAGATGATTGTCATTCCCGGTCAAGACTGGTTCCTTCAGGTGGAAGCTTCTGCACACCTTGCCTGGACATGCCTCTCTCCACTGTGGCAGAGAAACAGAGCAGGAGCTAAGTCTCAAGTGAAAGAGACTAGGAGAGCCCTGCAAGATGGCAACAGCAGTTCTACAAGACATCTGTTGTTACAACAGGCTCAAGTTGCATTAGAAAATGGTATCACCTTGCACAAAGGCTGACAACAGGCAATCCCCCTGTTTCTGCACTGCATTACAGGAAGGCAATCTGGTAGCTGGTTGCAGCAATGTGAACCTTCTGCTAAACTTCACTTTAGATTGATAGCCATGGATGTACTGAGATACAAGTCTCCACCTTACATACAGTGCATACACATCCTCCATTCAGGAGGCTTTCTAGAATGTTATTTTTTTCAGCATGAACGTGTACATAATTCACACTCATTGCCACTGCAAACACTGCACCGAAACCTGCTGCATCAGAGCAATTTACACTTCATCTGATCTGGTATCCCATCTCTAATATATCAGCCAAAGCAGGATGCTACAGCATTGTAACAGCTTAAGTAATGCTCAGCCCTGAAAATGGCCTCAGAGGAAAAAGGTTCTTCCCCACCTGCATTTGATTATGCTCTGAGAAATGGTCATTTGCAACTGGGTAAAGTCCAAATGGGGCAGCTGCAAGGGTTTACGTTTAGATGATTTCCCTATCCTGTCACCTTGCTAATACCTGCAGGAAGGGAAAAGAAAGAACAGTCATTCACAAGGTGTTTCTAGTCTCATTACCCCTCTAGTGACTTGGCAGACAAGGCAGCACACTTGTCCAAGGGAGAGAGACATGACAATTAGTTAACACACCCTGGCGTCGCTAGGAATGACTCTCAGTTTTCCTCACATGCTAACCTGGTTATTTTGATGCTCAACATTTCTGTACTCATAAGCCTGATCTTCTTCTGGGCATTGTGCAAACTAATAAAGCTGACAACGGTGCCAGGAGGGAGTTAAGTCTTCCTCCCCTTTTAGAAATAGAGAAGAGAAGCAAAGTGAAGGCCATACAACCAGTTAGTGGCAATTGCAGGACAAGTCACTTCAGCTCAATGTGCTTCAGTTCCTCCACATCAGATTAGTTACTGTAGTGATGAGACTGCAAGGTGACTCCGCATCTGAAGTGCTTCAAAATTCTCATATGGAAGCCATGCAGCGTCATTCCCCAAAGTTGCACGGTGTACGCAGCCATGCAGGTGTGCTCATGCCATGCAGCTAGGCGTGCCTGCATGGCCGCACAGCTTAGAGGGAATGCTGAAGGCATGAGAGAAATGGAAAGCATTGTATTGAAACCTACACTGCCCTAAACCAACAGGGACGTCTGTAAATCACTCCCAAATCCATCCACTGGTGGCAAGGAATGTTTTGGCACCAAGAGGAAATATTTAAATCTTCTTTTTGTAAGAACCCAAACACTCCAGTAAATATAAAGCTCTGCTGTGTTCAAAAGAGTGAGACGGTGATATCATAAATGCAAAGAGACAGCATCTCAGTGCAATGTAGCGGAGAGTCCCTTGATATCATGTACACCTCTCAGCTTTCTAGCAAGTGTAACATGATGCACAATGCTGAAGTTCACCTCCCCACCTGCTGCTTTTGGTTGATATTAAATGACAGGGCAGAGTGACTAAGTGATTACATGACCACACCAGTCCATTAACCAAAGCCATTAGGTGAAAAGCACCCCCTTTCCATACTTGCAGACTGATCAGTCCCAGTGAATCTCAACCCCCCAGTAGCAAATCAAGGCCCTTTCAATGGTGCTCATTTTTCAAAGCCTGAATTACTTGATTTCCATGCCTTGAAAATCCAAACCTGGGCACAGTAAGAAGTCATATTAATATATGGAACTGTTGTTGCAACTGGGTACTGTTTCAGTGTGTTGGTAGTGCTCACACCACTGCCTTGGCTGCTAGATCAGGAAAAGCCCTAGGCCTCTGGCAATTCAAACAAAACACAGTCACCCAAAAATCCACTGCCACTTTCCCTGCCTTCTTAATGGAGATGCTCCCCACAACTGCTTTAGGGCAGGAGGAGTAGGCAGTGATGCCCCAGCTGCAGCTGACCCGCTCTTGTTCTGAGGAGGGACTGAACCAAAGAGAGACTGAGCTATGCCAATAGTACCATTAAAAGTAAGCCAAGATTGGTCTCTGATAACAGACCTTTGGCTTTGTCTGTAACCAAGGCACTCTGAAAGCTACTAAACCTCACAACCCCCAGTGGAATGGGTGAGTGCCTTCCAACAAAGCATCTAAAGGCATGGGCACATGAGGTAAAGGAAGATATGAGCTTACAGCTCAGACTAGGGATTGTAGAAAGGCAGCAGCAGGGCACCAGACTACCAAGCGTAGACCCTGAGATGGTGCAGAGGCACTTGGAGGAACTGGATGCGTTTAAGTCAGCAGGCCCGGATGAGCTCCATCCGAGGGTACTGAAGGCACTGGCTGACGTCATTGCACAGCCACTGGCGGGAATATTTGAACACTCATGGCGCATGGGCTGGATCCCGGAGGACTGGAAAAGGGCCAATGTGGTCCCCATTTTCAAGAAGGGGAGGAAGGAGGACCCAGGCAGCTATAGGCCAGTCAGTCTCACCTCCATCCTTGGCAAAGTCTTTGAAAAAATTATCAAGGCTCACATTTGCGAGAGCCCGGCAGGAAAAATTATGCTGAGGGGAAACCAGCATGGGTTTGTAGCACGTAGATCATGCCTGACTAATCTAGTCTCTTTTTATGACCAGGTTACAAAACACCTG